TGGCTGACCTCAGTTTGAGTCCCGAACCTGGTGGCTTGCTTTCTCACTTTCTCTCTCTCTCTCTCTCCCTCTCTCTCTCTCTCTCTCTCTGCCTCATTCTAATCTAACTGGAATATAATACTAATACTAATAAAGTTAAATTTTTAAAAATAATTATGGCAACTGGAATTAAAGAACAAATTTCTTTCAGTGTAAAATGTTGAACTCTATGCATGAATTTCATGATACACACTTTTCATGATCTTTCAAAGACTCCTCTTACATGTTAGCCAAGTACCTCCCTTCCCCTGGGAGGCTTGGCCCAGGGCTGCCAGCGTCTTTTTTTCAGTAAAATATTTTGTTTTTACCCTCTCCATTCAAAAAAACACAATTAGAAAAAAAAAATGAGCATAATGTTGGGCCATCATCAGCTTCACTGCTTGGCTAAGAAAGCCTATGAGTTGGGGTTGGCAGTGGCAGGGTGGCTAGGGTGCTGGACTCCCACATGGCTGAGCATGGTTCAAGTCCTAGACCCGGCAAGTTGCTTTTTCCACTTTCCCTCTATTTCTCTCTGGTCAAATAAAAATAAATAAATAAATAAATAAAATAATTCTTAAAAATGTCTATCAGCCCCACCAGAACCGAGAGACCCAAAGAATCTTCAGTAAAGTTCCTGTCTGACCAGTGCACAGACAGGCAGGGATAGTGCATTTGTTGTTTGTCTTTTAAAAATATATGATGTTGGTGGGTCCCTGTAGCACAGTGCTTAAGTCATTTGCATAGGGAGCTGGATCCCATATGGTTGACTTCTATTTGAATCCTGACTCCCGGCAGTTTGAAAAACACTGTGTGTGTTTGTGTTTGCTTCAAATCCTGATAAGATGGAGAAAAGGAGGAAAAAGAATTGCAAGATGATCGTGTCCCATTGGGGTTATTTTTTCTCTCTGGCGAATGTATCTGCTCTCTGGTAATTGAAAAAAAATTTTAAATGTACAATTTATGGCAATGCTTTTTTAAAAAAATTGAGTTCTTGCTTACATTTTCTAGAATGCTTTTAAGGTAATGATTATATAAAAACTTTGTCTTAGAGTAAAATAACTTAAATGTAGTTGTAAGGTTTCTTAAGAAAATATTTTCAGAATCATTATTTATTTGAAATGAAAGTAAAATTTATTTCTAGATGGTTTATTAACCAGTTTATATAGTTTATAAGATCATCTCTGAAGCCCTAAATACAAATGTCTTCAAGGAAAGAAATTATTGTGAATAAATTACTTTATTCGTTTCTAAAAATTTTGAGTTTGGAAAATTTTGAGAAATTTTCCTTCTCTGATAAATTCAAATCTGGATAAATCCAAAACCAGTCCTCAATGCTGTCACCTTGCATAAAGAATTTTATCTAAATTGTGAGAAAGCCAGTATACTGTAGATGTTTAAAAAAATAACTCTAATGCAATGGCTAATCATTAGAATAATGCCTACAATAAATTTAGCATTGAGCCCATAGAAATTGATTTTGGGGAAGCACCAGATGGTGTAATGGTTATGTCATTAAACTCCCACGTGGCCAACTATGGTTCAAGTCCCAGACTCAGATGCTTGAAACTCACACAGGGTTTGTGTGTATGTGTGTGCATGCCACAAATCCTGAGGAGAAGGGATTATGGTATGGTCATCCTCCTGGAGGTGATTTTTCACTTTCTGTCTATCTCTCTGGTGAAGATAACTGTCCTATAGTTAAAAAAAAAAAAATCTCTCTCCCTAAATAAATAAATAAATAAATAAATAGACTTTTGGAGGTCATCAGGTGGCATGCAGTTAAAGGCGTTGGACTCCAACATGGCCAGCTGCAGTTAGAGACCCAGACCTGGTGGCTTATTTTCTCATTTTTCCTTTCTCTCTCTCTTTCTCTCTGGTGAGTACCTGTTCCCTACAGAAAATTAAAAAGAAAAAAATCTTAAAAAAAATTTATTTTTTTCTTGTTACTACTTTTATTGTTTGGAATCATAAATGTTTAAAAAGTAAAGAAAATGAATAAAACCAAATGTATTGTGAAGTATAAAATGCAATATTGATCACCACTAAATTTCTTATTGGTATATACACCTCTTTCACTGTCTGGCAACACTCATCCAGCTGTCACAGGGTGATCTATCTTATGATACAGTTTAGGGAGGGAGGCCTTTTCTTTTTTTTCTTTTTTTCTTTTTCTTTTTCTTCCTTTGGAGAGATTTTTGTTGTAGAGGACATGTGCACATTGGAGAGAGAGAGAGAGAGACAGAAAACAAAAAATCACCTCCTGGAGGAATGGCCATGCCACTTTACTCTCCTCCTGGGATTCTGGGCACATATGCACATGCTTCTGGCATGAGTTTCAAGCTGCTGGGTCCAGGACTCAAACCAGGTCATCCATGTGAGAATCCAGTGCCTTAACCACTATACGACCTGCTGGCCCCTGGAGGCCTTTTCAGTGGCTGAAGAGGACAGCATCTATGATCCAGGTCCTTTGACCCAGTTCTCCCCTTTCCTATCAGGAGCAGTTATCATGAACATTGTCAGCTGCTGTGAGTCTGGCACTGGCCTTTGGGGAGATGGGGACTTTGATGCCACTGCAGCTAGGCCAGGATGACTGATTTCAGGGCTGGTTTCCAATTCTTGAGACTTTGGGGGTCATCTTCAGTCTTGGTTCTTAGTCCTCCCCAGACTCAGAGCTCCTGGACCCAAGTAGGAAGACACCAGAGTGAAGTGGCAGAGTGATCATACAGTTGGCTGGATTTCGCAGCCCAGATGTCTGGGGAGCCTAGACAGCAAGGCACAATCAAGCCTTCTGAGTGTAAAAAGAAAATAGGGTCCTGCTATGGTCCGTGAGAGAGGCCTGATCTGTTCTTGTGGGACATAGAGCAGAGGGGGCTTTATGACTGCCCTGAGGGAAATCCAGGCAAGTTGAGGCACTGCTCAGAACAGCCTGCCTCATGTCCATCCTGGGCTTAGAGATGAAGACCAGAGTTCATCCTCTGCAACTTCTAGAATGTCAGCCAACCATCTCCCCATTGTTCTAGGAGCTGACACGTAGGTCCTCCGTGGGATACTTCAACTGATGGGATAATTTCAGGGATTATTTTCCTTTCCTCAGCTTTACTATTTCACTCCTTCTGTAAAGGTCAGCCTATTTTAAAATGCAGTTGGGGGGCCTGCAGGTGGCATGGTGGTTAAGGCACTGGACTCACATATGGCTGACTGTGGTTTGAGTCTTGAACCCGGCAGCTTGCTTTCTCACTTTCCCTCTCTCTCCCTCTCACACTCTTCAGCTCTCTCTGGTGAACACATGTGCCACAGAAAAAATGTAAAATAATATTAATATTACATAAAATATTCTTTAAGTGCAGCTGAATAGAAAATGGAATAATGTGTGCTTCCCTAGAAAGATATCATTCATATGTACCTCTTCTCTTCTCTTCTCTGGAAAGAGAATCTCAGAGACACACCAAAATCTTCTGAATACTGCCAATAGCAATTGCTTTTCTTTACCTTACACTCTTTTTAACTGTGCATGGAAAGCCCCTCCCCCTCCTCTTATTATCTCTTACGTGGTAGTCAGTGCATGTACTGTCATTGCAGTGAGAGGTGCCTAGAAGATCTCCTAACTCAGTAACCTCCTCAGTATCCTACCCCCATCCCCGCTCTCTTAGCTCTCTCAGGTGGCCCTGAGAAGCTACATCTTCCAGTATTCTGTTCTTGTGCAATCTTTTCCCCTTGAGTCTGAGTTGGTTGTATGACTTACACTTTATCCATAATATGTGGTATAAATGACTCAGGGTTACTTCAGAGATTATGTAGAAGAACCTTGTAGTGGGGCCAGCAGGTGGCATGGTGGTTAAGGCGCTGGACTCCCACATGGCCAACCACGGTTCAAGTCCTGGACATGGTGGCATGCTTTCTCACTTTCCCTCTCTCTCTCTCTATCTCTCTGTCTCTGACTCTCTGTCTCTCTCTGGTGAGCGTATGCACAAATTAAAAATAATAATAATAATAATAAAAAGAAGAATCTTGTAGCATCCCCTAGACATCTGACAATACTAATTCTGGAGAAGACAAATGGATTTTAGGAAGTCTATCATGAGACCTCCATGTGGAGAGACTGTGTGGCCCAACCATTTTTCTGTGGTTCAATCATTCTAGTTGAGGACTCAGACAAAGACAAAGTAGTGAAGAAGCCACTGTGGATATCCATCCCAGCCAGGTGTTCAGATGAGGCTAGCCTTAGCTGCCATCTGACGGCAACCCTGAGACACCAATAGAGAGTAAGTACCTAAGCCCAGTGAACCACATACCCATGAGATAATAAATTTCTATTTCTATTTAAACCACTGTTTTGTTGTGCTTTGTTAGGTAGCAAGAGATCATTGGAATACCAACCTTCGTGTGACACAATGGCCATGGAAGTAGCAAGCCATTTTCCATCTCTCTCCTTTGTCAAGTCTCCTTGGTTTAAATGTCAGAGAAGGACTTTCTTCTCTTCAGATGAAATGCAGCTCTATTGATGGCCATGAGGACTACATTATTCCATTGATGGTCATGATCATTGGAGAATTCTGAAAACATCCATGTTGTAAAACCATTACTTTCCCCTCTTCTCTCTGCCTCCTACTCATCATCCACCCGTGTACTTCCTGGATATCACACTGCCCGCTGAGTGTGCCTGTCCACTGGCCAGGAAGGTGTTGTGGCAGCAACATGTATGTAGGACAGATCTCAAGGACAATGGCAGTACATGGAGGGAGCTGATAATCAGTGCCAGGTGGGTGGCAGACACCTGGCCTCTCCCTCTCTTGGCACCAACTTTTCCCAAGGAGATCAAGGTGTGTCCCTTTCCAGAGCCATTTCTGTCTTTTTCAAGGCACTTTAATTTCCATCTCTATCCATTTCCCCACAGTCAATGAGACAAAGTAGGAATTGTTCAAAAGAAACATTTACTAGGAAACTAAAGGGAAACCAAACAGAATACAAGAGAACAGAGGCAGAGTTGCAAACAGACTGAAGGATTTCAAATTTATGACCATCCCCTGGCCATAGCTAGACTGGCTAGGCAGAGCTCTCCAGACACAAAGACACCTGCCTGCCATGTGGGCAGTCCCCTTTGCCTACTCGCTTCCAACAAAGCCACCTTCTGTTTCGTACCAACAAGCCAATAAGAGGTTTGTTAGTACCCCAGGGCTGTGAGTTTTGGGGGCAGGGAGATCCTGGGGTGGGAAACAACAGGCACAGCTGCCTCAGGATCTCCAACCCAGGCTGCCATTGCCAAGGACCAGTCAAAGTGAATCAGGATGGCTGCCTGGTATCTGCTGGAGCCAGTCTGGTTTCTCTGGGACCGTTCTTCAGGGCCCCTCAGCCTGGCTCTGGAGACACTGTTTCTGCTCACTCTCCTGCTGCCACTAGCACTTCACACTTTGCTTCTGAACATTGGCATGGCAGAGGATGTCACAATGGGGAGGGATGGGCAAGGAGGACCTTGGGCAAAGAAAGTTGAATTTTTCTCATGTCACCAGACCTAGGCAAAAGCCTGGATTCCCTATGAATCCCAGCCAATCGAAAGCCAATCAAGATGGAGCTGGATCAGGCAGGCTGGGGAACAGTGATGCTTCAGTGTAATACCACTGCCTCACATACCAAAGGCCTCCACCCTTTTCAGATCTTGCCTTAGGTCAGTTCCTTGTACTTGTACTAGGCATCTGAGGCAACAAGAACTTTTCTGCTTCCACTCAGTTAGTCCCACTTTGAAATGTTAATTGATTCAGATTTCCTGAAAGGTGATCAACTCTGGATTCTGCTGCAGAGACTGTATGAGAAGGGGAATGTTATTTTGGAGTAGTGGTGTGAATGTGCAGATGACGTGCATTGTACCTGTAATGGGAGAGAGACCACCACCTGGTAACAGCCTCTGGCCCTCCCAGGGTACGCGTGAGGCCTTTGGTTTCGTTTCTGTGGAGACAGAAGCAATGAGGATGAGGTGCAGAGCTGGCCATGGGTGGGTGGACATAAACCTGTAGGATGCTGAGTAATGAATAGATACCCGGGGAGAGCCCTTGACCTTCACTCTTATAGGTATTTCCATTCCCCAAGTGCTGTGAAACTGATGTATATGTCTGAAGTAAGAAGAAAAACCTGTCTGTGGCTGCCCAAGGCTATGACTCTGGGCTGCTGCATATGGAAGTACCCAGAAGGCACTTGGGCCTGGAAGGCCCCAAAGCTGTGCCTTCCCCTAGGGGATGGCTGTGTTACCTCCTCGAGATCTCACCTCACACAACACTGCACCTGTTTCTGCAGCTGTTCCCACAGTGGGTAAACGTGCCTGGAAAAGGATATTTTAAACTCTTATACCATTGAGATGGATGCCTCTCCAACAGAGATGACAATTCATTTACTTCTAATACCAGCTGAAAGAAAGTGGCTGCAGCCTACCTAAAACAAAGTGCTGGGATTTCTGAGTCCTCAGAATTTTAGCAGAAAAATGGGCCATGATCAACTGGTCTTCTCTGCCCTGTGCATGGAAGGGGGCAGTGAATTTGCTGTGAACTAGCCCTCCGGGCACTAGACTTTCTCTAGGGGAACGGCCTACCTGTCCTAGTCTCCTAGGACTATTCCCTGCAGAGCTGGAACACTCTCTTGGGGTGAAGGTATATTCTAGAGACAGTCATTAGCTCAAAGGTAGTCGAGTGTGAATTGAGATCTGCTGCTTATTTAGCACCTGCGTGTATTTTGAACTATTGTGTCATTCCAGGGCATTCGAGCAAGGAACTTTATGTCAGAGTGACTACTGCCAGGACAAGTGCTCCATCTCCATTACCAAGGGCCTTATATTGATCACAAAGAGTCCCGGTACTCTTGGCACTCTCTCTCAATATCACTTGGTTTTTTCCAGAGTCCAGTCTCAGTTCTCGGCCATGAGAGACATGCTTCTTCCATAGCGCATCACCTGGGGCCACCCAAAGAAAGTGGCTGGACATTCAGGTTCAGCAAACCCAGCTGAGCCTTTGGTCACTGGAGTCATCCGGGTGTTGTTGGATGGGAAAAGTTACTGATAATCTTTGTAAGGTGATTGTCCTACTGTGTCCTTGGCACAAGCAGTCCTCTCACCCACGGTCATCGTTTCTGTGGGGAAAAGAAACAAAAAGAATGATTCAGTTTTCAATTATACACCTTTAATGTGAACCAAACAAGTGCCAGACACAGGTAAATGCTGGGAATATAAGACCATGAGTAAGACACTCTGCTCTCAAAGGACTCGCAGAGGGAGAGAGGCTGAATATGCACAAAATGCTGTAGGAGCAAAGAGGAGGGAAGGACCGACTTCGAGGGGACTGAGGAAGTCTACAGAGAGAATGCCGAAGGGTCAGTCTTGAGCTGAGCCATTTATGTCCAAGGGGAGTCCATCGGCAGAGAAGGAGGAAGGTCATTTTGGACAAAGGAAAGAGCTTGTGCAAAGGCACAAATGCAGGAAATGTGTAGTGCACCGGGGAGTGCATCAGAGGGATAGTCAGAACTGGGTGTGAGGCGTGGAGTGTTTGGAAATAAGGGTGGGGAGGAGAAAGTGGGTCTGAGTGGTGCGAACACACTGCTTGTTTCCAATCTCTGAGGGCTGGGCTCTCTATCTCTAGAAGGGTGAGATCCTCAGACCAGTAGGATCTCTTGCGTTTTACACTCAGCTCAGCATTAAACTTCATTCAAGCTTAGGGCACCTTGTAGTTTATAGATTAAGTGTATTAACGCTACAAAGGAAGAACTGAAGTCATTTTTATGGACAGAGTTAAAACAAGAAGGACCAGCAGGTGGTGTGGTGATTAGGGCACTGGACTCCCGCCTGACCAACTATGGTTCAAGTCTTGGACTTGGAGGCTTGCTTTCTCAGTTTCCCTCTCTCTCTCCCTCTGTCTCTGTCTCTGTCTCTGTCTGGTGAGCACATGTGCCCTATAGCAAGTTTAAAAAAGAAATAAGTAATAATTAAATAATTGTTAAAAAAAAAAAAAGCCAACCACCAAGAAATGTACACAACACCTATGAGAGAGCTCCAGGAATTCTCAAATATACAGATTACATTTCAGAGGTCAAAGGCTGTAACTTAACTAACAAAAGCCAGAGCATACAGTGGAGAGGAAAGCTACACACATGCCTAAGAAAAGGGGTATGTGTTTCTGAGTGTGGCAGGAAAGTGTGAATATTTGTCTGAACATTGCGATTCAAACACAAGTTCCCAGACCAGCTGCTACTCTGAAGTGCCTTTAGAACTGTGAATTGGTCTACTTGCCAACACATCACCCATGTCAGGCCGGGGTCCCCCAGGCCCTCTCAGCTGTGAGAACTGAAGGCCCAGGCTGCCTTTCCTGGTAAGTCAACAGACTTGGCCCCACCAGTGAATGTAGTCTGGAATTAGTTATGCTGCCAACATTAGCCAAGGAGGTCACGTGCCCCCGAACTTCATTTTTGAGTAACTATTGTGTGCTAAGCACTAGGCTGTGAACTTGACAGTTCAATAAAATAGCCCAGTGAGGTTCTTTACTGTAGGATACAAAGCTGTAGTGAGATTAATTTGCACAAAGCCACACTAAGTGTCAGAGCTGGGATTTACACCCAACTTATAATTTCCAAATCCAATTACATCATTTCTAAATTCACACAGTAGGCCCAGCTCACATGTCTAATGTACAGCTGCTTTCTCTGTCTTAGCTTTCTTTGAGTTGCCTTGAAGAAGCTCTTCTCCAAGTCAGTACCTGCAGCAGGCACCATATCTCACTTAAGGCTTCCTGGCTTATTCTATGTCTCTGAAGTCCCCTGCGAATCACACATATGTGTAGCTCATTTGTCCTCTCAGTTCTATGCACAACCTCATTACTCCCTGTATGACTGTAAATTCACCTTTCCATTTGAGCAATTTGTTCAGACTGCCTTGGGTACAGTCTTCCCAAAGTACCCAGCCTTAGGGACTGTCCCTGTACCAGGTTTGTTTTGACCTTGACTGAAGTTTATTTAGAGTGCTAGACTATACACTCAGTCAACTTTTTACCAGCCTCATACCTAGGGACACTGCTAGAAGAGGCCATCTTGCTAATAGCCAAATCATAGCACAGTTCCAACCTACCCTCCATGGCGGGGCTTTGCTAATTTGATGAACTTCCCTGTGTGTACTTAGCCAGACTCAAGCTCAGTCCCTGGGAATTCTGTGGAGTGGCCCATTGGTTTCCTCCTTCTATTGGGTTGTCAGAAAAGTCATAATGCATTTTTGCAGAGAAAAATATGTCATGACTTTTCTGACCCAGTAAGTCAGAGTAAGCCTTCAGCTAGGTGAGTTTTCTGAGCCCTGACCCTGTCTAGGCCCTGACCCTGTCTGGGCATAACATTCTTTGTTTCCTTCCTTTGGACTATGCCACTAAGTTTCTGAAATGCCTGTGGTGAGGGACTAAGTGTCCCTGTACCAGGTTTGTTTTGACCTTGACTGAAGTTTATTTAGAGTGCTAGACTATACACTCAGTCAACTTTTTACCAGCCTCATACCTAGGGACACTGCTAGAAGAGGCCATCTTGCTAACAGCCAAATCATAGCACAGTTCCAACCTGCCCTCCATGGCGGGGCTTTGCTAATTTGATGAACTTCCCTGTGTGTACTTAGCCAGACTCAAGCTCAGTCCCTGGGAATTCTGTGGAGTGGCCCATTGGTTTCCTCCTTCTATTGGGTTGTCAGAAAAGTCATAATGCATTTTTGCAGAGAAAAATATGTCATGACTTTTCTGACCCAGTAAGTCAGAGTAAGCCTTCAGCTAGGTGAGTTTTCTGAGCCCTGACCCTGTCTAGGCCCTGACCCTGTCTGGGCATAACATTCTTTGTTTCCTTCCTTTGGACTATGCCACTAAGTTTCTGAAATGCCTGTGGTGAGGGACTAAGCTTACAAGATGACAGGATAAAGGAATTTTAACGTATCTGGTGGAGTGACGGATCATCTCTACCAGTCATCTTGTAACAGAAGCTTCTTGGAAACAAACGTATTCTAGGGGAAGCTGGGCATACAAGTCAGGTTTGAAAAGATAACTCAGTTGTCTCAAAAAAAATAAAAAGGCAATTTTGAGTATGTCATTAACAAGTTAGGACATTTCCAGTTGCTATAACTTCATGAGTTGTTTCTCAGTCAAGATTTTTATAAAACATTGGTCCAGTGGGAGTCTGGTGGGGAAATGGTGGCACCAACACCAGTAATAGTGATAGTAGTTTAAGCACTGTGGCCAGAGCCAGCCTGGCTGTTTCCAGTGCGGGTGCCAGCCCGTTACAGTGGGCAGAGCATCAGTGTCCTTGCTGTCAGATCCAGAGGGCTCTCAGCCAGTACCATGGGCTTAGAAGGTCCCAGGAACTTCAGCAGCACCAACAGGAAGTGGTGGTTGCAATCGTATCTGACCAGAGGGATTTAAAGTGAATTTGATTGTACTGAGACACAGGGATTCGATTTGAATTAAGATGAATCGAAACCAAAGATGAGAACTGTCATATTGAAAACTGTAACATAAAGTGACATTTTGATCATAAAAATGACAGCTGATGTGAGACAGGCCATTGAAGCTGACTCTAAATGAAGAACATAAAGAGATTCAGTAGAGTATTAGATAATACCTCCCTGTGAACCTGAAAATTAGTTTTGATTACAGGAAGTATCTATGAGCTTTGAACGCTTAGATGGCTATAAACTGAAGTCATTCTTATTATATGAGTCAATCTCATACGCACTCATTGTTATACTAGTATTTCAAAATTGTATTTCAAAAGGACAAAAACCTTGTGATTTTGTTGTCTATACCACTTGGCACAGCTTTACAAAATACCTAAGAAAAAACATCATGCCATGGCCGTTTAGAATCTGATTACCTCATCCTGGAGGAGAATGTAGAAGGGACTGCTGTGTGGCCATCCTTCTCTCTGGAGAAGGATACACCCTATCACAAAACTAAAAAACTAAAAAGTAAAATAAAATAATATAGATAGACAGAGACCCAGAATGGGACCACTTTCACCACCTTCCTTGCTTCTACACCGATCTAAACCTCCATTATTTCTGCTGGATTACAGTTGTAGACACCTAATGGATATGACCACTTTTACCCTCCTCACTCTGATAGAGGCTATTCTCATCACAGCAGCAGAGGGATCAGTTAAAAGCTTAGGTCACGTCACATCTCTCTCGAAAATTCTGCCATGGCTCCCTGTTCATTTTGGAGAAAGAGCCAAAGTATTTACAAAGGTCAACCAGGTCTCTTAGCTTTCTAATCTTCCACTTCTC